CGCAGGGGTTATGGGCTGGGAGGGAATCCAATCCCGTCGGGTCGGTGTATAGCGATTGCGGGAATCCAACATCGAGCACAGTTGTGGAAGGAGCTCTCGAAGATCCCGTCGGGTCGGTGTACAGCGAGTGCGAGAATCCAACATCGAGCAGTTGCGGAAGGAGCTCTCGAAGATCCCGTCGGGTCGGTGTACAGCGAGTGAGGGAATCCAACATTTCAATCGAGACATTGCTTGACGTGAACGACCTAACGGTAGAAGAGGTGACCGGAAGACTGCGTAACGTCGAGCAGCGGAAGAAAAATACCATTTCAGTTGTCGACAAGGGGGTCGTCTACTCCTCACTGAGAAGGAATGGCTTGCACGTCTAAAGCTCCCGTGACAACACCGGCGAGAGCAACGGGTCCTCCTTCAGCACCAAAGATGGTAAGAAGCCATGGATCTCCCACGGGCGCATGCGCGGGAAAAGATGGGAATCAAAAGAAGGAGTCGACCAATGGCAGGCCGATCTGCTCGAACTGTGGGAAGAAAGAACACCTAAGCAGGAATTGTTGGAGCAAGCTTAGGAACAAGGAGAAGGCCGAAAAGGCCCATGTGGCTAAATCCGAGGAGGACGAGACAGCTCTTTTCATGGTAAGTGCATGTGTCCCCATTGTCGATTCCAAATCCACGGAAATGGAGGTAATCAACAACGATGTTGAACTCGAGAAAGAGCTCCAGCTGGGCGTAGAAAAGGTGGCACCAGCTGGGGAGCCAATTCAACTGGAGGAGGAGCGAGTGTTCGCTCAGATCAGCGAGCAGGACGAGCAACACAAGGACCGGCGATGGATCCTAGACACAGGGGGCAACAAACCATATGACCGGGGCTAGGGAGCCAATTCAACTGGAGGAGGAGCGAGTGTTCGCTCAGATCAGCGAGCGGGACGAGCAACACAAGGACCGGCGATGGATCCTAGACACAGGGGGCAACAAACCATATGACCGGGGCTAGGGAGCCAATTCAACTGGAGGAGGAGCGAGTGTTCGCTCAGATCAGCGAGCGGGACGAGCAACACAAGGACCGGCGATGGATCCTAGACACAGGGGGCAACAAACCATATGACCGGGGCTAGATCTGCATTCTCCGAACTCGACTCGGGCTGCATTCTCCGAACTCGACTCGGGGATCCGTGGGACGGTGAAATTCGGTGACGGATCCATCGTCGAGATCGAAGGACGCGGCACCATCCTATTCGTCAGCAAGGGAGGCGAGCATCGCAAGCTGACCGACGTCTACTTCATCCCGAGGCTCAAGGCTAACCTTGTGAGCCTGGGTCAACTCGATGAGACAGGCTGTTTCATCTCCATCGAGCGCGGACTACTCAAAATTTGCGATAATCAACGACGGCTGCTCACACAGCCAAGGCGCACGACAAACCGTCTTTACATCCTGGAGTTACAGATAAAACAACCTGTCAGTCTCTCGGCCAAGGCCGAAGAAGTATCTTGGAGGTGGCACACAAGGTACGGGCATTTAAACTTTCCTGCTCTAGAAAAACTACAGAAGGAGGAGTTAGTGCACGGTTTGTCAGCAATCAAAGGCGTGAACAAGCTGTGCGATGGGTGCCTCATCGGCAAACAGAGGCGCACACCCTTTCCATCTCGAACATCCTATCGAGCCGATGAGCCGTTGGAGCTTGTACATGGCGATATCTGCGGGCCCATCAAGCCGGCGACCCCAGGCGGTAAGAGTTTCTTCCTTCTGTTAGTCGATGACAAAAGCAACTTCATGTGGCTGACCCTGCTGCAAGCGAAAAGTGAGGCGGCAGAGGCGGTTAAGTGCATTAAAGCGCGAGCGGAGGCCGAATGTGAGAAGAAGATGCGAGTGCTGTGCACAGACCGAGGCGGAGAATTCACCTCGACAAGTTTTGGTAAGTACTGTGACGAAATCGGCATACAACGGCACCTAACGGCGCCCTACTCCCCCCAACAGAACGGAGTGGTGGAGCGCTGGAATCAGACCATCGTCGGGACAGCAAGGTCATTGTTGGTGACGACCGGGATGCCTGGGAGATTCTGGGGAGAGGCAGTAATGACGGCCGTCTATCTCCTGAATCGGTCACCAACCCGAAGCCTTGACGGGAAGACACCATATGAGGACTGGTACAACAAAAAACTAGCGGTACATCATTTTCGCGTGTTCGGCTGCGTCGCATACATGAAGGTAACACGTCCCCACCTCGCCAAGCTTGATCCTAGGGGGCTGAAGGTCGTTTTTATCAGCTATGAACCCGGGAGCAAGGCGTACAGACTATATGATCCTGTAGGGGGGCGAGCTCACGTGTCTCGCGACGTCGTCTTCGACGAAAGCACCTTCTGGCAGTGGAATGACGTGATCGAGGCAGGCCATAATCCAAATCAATTTACGGTGAAGTACCTCGTCACCGAGCCAGAAGAAGGAGGAGCCCAGCATCAGCAGCCGTCACCGCCGCCAGCAGGTGCAACCCCTGAACTAGTGGAATTCGCAACACCACGGACTGCAGATTCGACGCTGGATGCCGATCACGATACTGATCTGGAGGCCAGGTACCGGAGGATGGACGACCTAGTAGGAGGAGGTGAACCACCTGGACTGGCAGTGCGCGAGCTCGAAGAAGTGGCCGAACTACATGCCATCAGTGTAGATGAACCCAACACCTTCGCCGAAGCAGAAAAGAACCCATGCTGGCTGAAGGCAATGCAGGAGGAGATGACATCCATCACCGAAAATCAGACGTGGAGTCTGGAGGATATGCCGCCGGGACACCAAGCCATAGGGCTCAAATGGGTCTTCAAACTGAAGCGCAACGAAAAAGGAGAAGTTGTGAAGCACAAGGCCCGTCTGGTGGCGAAGGACTACGTCTAGAAGCAAGGAGTGGACTTCGAAGAGGTATTTGCGCCAGTGGCAAGGTTAGAATCCGTTCGTTTCTTACTTGCAATTGCAGCACATTACTCTTGGGAGGTTCACCATATGGACGTAAAGTCTGCTTTCCTTAACGGAGAGCTGAAGGAGACTGTTTATGTCCGACAACCACCTGGCTTCCTGGATAACAACAACCCAATAAAGTATTGCGCCTACACAAGGCACTCTACGAGCTTCGACAAGCTCCACGAGCCTGGAACGCGAAGCTCGACAGTACCTTACTATCACTGAAATTCAAACGTTGCACCTCTGAGCATGGCATGTACACGCACGGCCATGACAAGAAGCGACTAATCGTGGGAGTGTACGTCGACGACCTCATAATCACTAGAGGTGACATGGAAGTCCTCGGAAGGTTCAAGAAGGAGATGTCAAAAAACTTCGAGATGAGCGATCTCGGCGTGCTCAGCTACTATCTCGACATCGAAGTGCAACAGAATTCTACCGGCATCTCCATCTGCCAAAGTGCATACGCAAAGAAGCTGCTGGACACAACTGATCTTGTGGACAGTAATCCTACAAGGACGTCAATGGAGGCCCGACTCCAACTAAGGAAGGCTGGCACTACGACGACAGTCGACTCCACCAATTACCGCAACATTGTCGGGAGTCTGCGCTATCTGGTAAACTCTCGTCCTGATCTTGCTTATTCTGTTGGATATGTGAGCCGGTTTATGGAAGCACCTAGGGAGGAGCATTTAGTGGCTGTCAAGCGCATCCTGCGCTATGTAGCCGGAACCAGAGGCTGGGGTGTAAGATACTGCGCAGGGAGCGGAAAGGAGAAACTCAAGCTAGTTGGCTACAGTGATAGTGACATGGCCGATGACGTTGATGATCGTAAGAGCACTAGCGGAATGATCTACTTTCTCTCAGGCGGCGCAATCTGCTGGCAATCAACAAAACAGAAGATAGTTGCTTTGTCTTCCTGTGAAGCAGAATACATCGCCGCTTCGATGGCAGCAACACAAGGGATCTGGCTTGCGCGACTAATGGAAGAACTCATCGGGAGAGAAAGTGATCCACCAATGCTATACGTAGACAACAAAGCTACGATCTCCCTGATCAAAAATCCAGTTTTGCATGAACGAAGCAAGCACATAGAAATCAGATTCCACTACATTCGAGAATGTGCAGATCGAGGGCTCATCAAAATTGATTACATCCGAACAGAGGAACAACTTGGAGACATCTTCACCAAGTCCCTGGCGCGGGTGAAATTTGAAGAACTACGCTCAAAGATCGGAGTTCAAATAGTAAGGTAGATATACTACAGGTTTTAGGAGGAGATTGTTAGATAAAACCTGAGTTTTACCGTTTTTCTTATTCACACGATTTCAGAAAATCGTCAGTTTGACCATTTGACAAAACACGTCGAATGGATCACCAGAGTTTTAGACTGAAATTTTCTAGGGAGTGGCACAGATTTAGTTGGTCACTCTCGAGCCATTTTTAGAATGATTTTTACTTTAAATAGGAGATTTGTTCAAAAAATAAAAAAACTGAACCCAATCAGAATTCAGTTAATTTTCTCTCCCTTTTTTGTTACGCATTTTCTTCCAACACCCAATTTCCTCTTACCGAAATACTGAATTTCCTCTCACCGAAATTCTGTGAAAAACAACGAGTGTGCGTTTTACGACTTAGGGCATCTACGACCATGTTTTCTTATCCAGGGTCGTACCAGATATCTATATCATAGTCCTTCATTAATTTCAACTAACTTCATTGCCTCATGTTCAATCTTTTTTCGGTGAATAAGTACTTTAGGCTTTTATGGTAGGTGTAGATTTGAGTTTTTTCCCATTGTGACGCCCCTAATTTTCTCTTACCTAATTAGCGACGTTACCTTGTACTTGCATAACGACAAAACGAGAGTTCACGTAAGATAGTCTCAATGACGATAATACATTCTTATAAGCAGTTCATACCTTGGGAAAACAATAACGATAGCCTAACCTAGAAATAATCAACAGAGAACTAGAGGAAGAATTGCAATAACTATGAACCTAAAAGAATTCAACAAGACGCCTACGACACTACAAACCTTCCTTAAGATTTCCATGGCCTTTGCAGCATCCACCGTCAGCTGTACATGGGAGCCTTGCCCTTATCTGAAAATATGGGTAACATGTGGCTTGAGTATTATATAAAATACCCAGTAAGTCGCCCCACTGTTGGGGTTAAGCATATAATCATCCATCAGGATACATGCTATCGCACACAATATACATACATGAGCACAAATGTCAAAAGAAAGAAACGGAGAGAGGGGTCTTTCCATTCCTTCCCATGGCCTTAGGCCCTTGCCTTGTCCGGGCGAGGGTGGATGCATGGTACTTTCCCACACATGGCCTACGTGCGTGACTGTGAGCCCACCGGGCGAGTTCACATGCGAACTCCTTGGGCCTGGCTTGGTCGGGTATGTATGACATACAATACCGGACGCCACGAAAAAGGAGGGCCTGCATGATATCGTGGCGAACACAATATCGAATGTACGCCTCCATACCATCAGTAGCATAATGGGGGAGTGCCCCATGTACATAACCATAGCGTGCATAAGATTCTTAAGGCTTACCTCCATGGAATTATACATACAACGTTCCATCCCCTCACTGCATTACATAGCATAATTGGGTTAAACATCAAGTAAGAATATCGAAGCATACTAGTCATCACATTCATGGCATGTGGGGTTCTCATTACAATCATTACATGTCAATCAAGCTCATACATACAGGTTAGCAAACCGTGTCAAAAACATCACATACATAAACATGGCATACATAGCATTTCACTGCAAGAAACATATAACCTAGCATACATCAAAACCACACATGGTGCATGCAAGGGCCACGGGGCATGCATCAACATACATACATAAGTAACGCTAACAGTAAGGTTACTTACCTCCTTGGCCTTGGCCGAAGTCACCCACAACGCTAACTCCAGTGCCTAACTACCTCCTATAAGATAACATGATACACTTAGAGCCTTTTCACAACTAGCACTTATACCTAGCTACCAAGGTACGTCCCTATCGCAAGCTGTTTTTATCAAAATGGAGTTATACTAACCTCAGATGGTTAAAACAAGGGTGGGAATGGCTCTAGAAGGATCGAAAACCTAGAAATTAGTATACTATTGGGATGTCGAGTCGCGCCGCCGAGCTGCACTGCCAAGCAAAACCTAGCCGAGCCGAGAGTGCACGGAGCCGTCGATGGAGCTGAAACCGACAGGCTGCGAAGAACACTGTTGGTGCAAGGTTTCTAGGTTCACCTCTAGTTTGGGCCGAAAGGGAACGAGGCCCAATAGTGGTGTTCGAGCGCGGTCTGCGAGGTGCGGGCTGCACGCTGGCCGAGACAAACTCATAGAATGTCGAGGGTCGTCCCGCGCCATCGCTTCGTCTTCCTTGCCGAAAACCTCGACAACCCTAATCGCGGGGCTTGGCTACTGTCATCGTTCGTCCATCTCCGATGGCTCGTCTGTCTTTTCTTGCCCCGATGTACACTGGCGTCCGCTCCCACCTAAAGGAGGCGGTCTCTGCGACCCTAGGGTTTAAGGGTTCTGAGTGAAAGATTTTCGACGCTCCCCCCTCCCCTCCATTTTTTTCCTTGGAATGTGTATTGTTACACCCATATAGGTTGTGTCGCCAAATCTTTAATGCGAACACCATTGCATTCAATTCTAGGTCATGCGTAGGATAGTTTTTTTTTTTTTTTTTTTTTTTTTTTTTTTTTTTTTTTTTTTTTTTTTTTTTTTTTTNATGCACCCTAATCCCTTCTTGGATGCATCACTGTAGATTATATATCCCTATGAGCTTTCCGGCACCGTGAGCACTAGAGCTTACACTAGTGTTTGTTTTAGGTCTTGGAAGCTGACCTCACATGCGTCATTCCATACAAAAGGTACGCCCATCCTAGTCAACTGTGTAAGAGGTGAGGCTATTCTAGCTAAGTCTTGTACAAACCTTCGATAGTAGCCTGCTAGCCCCAGGAAACATCATACCTCTATAATTGTATTTAAACTTTCCCACTTAATGATGTCTTCTATCTTAGTGGGGTCCACTGAAATCTCGTCTTTGGACACCACCTGTCCTTAGAATGAGACTTGTTGTAGCAAAAATTCACATTTGGAGAACTTAGCATACAACTTGTTTCCCATCAAGATAGTTGAGACTTTTTAGAGGAGTTCTTCATCAGTCCTCGAGTATACCATGATCTCATCTATAAACATGATGGCAAATGTGTCCAGACAGTCATTGAATACCCACTTCATTAACTCCATAAACACAGCTTGGGCGTTGGTGAGGCCAAATGACATCTCTACGAACTTGTAATGGCCATATCTTTTTTGAAAGGTTGTCTTCAGTACATTCCCTTCCTTGATCTTAATCTAGTGATAGCCCAATCAAAGGTCTATCTTGAAAAATATCGTCGCCTCTCAGAGTTGGTCGAATAAATCCTCGATGAAAGGTTGTGGGTACTTGTTCTTTATTGTTCTCTTGTTTAACTCCTTATAGTCAATACATAGGCGCATTGAGCCATATTTCTTTTTCACAAACAACACCAAAGGGATACGCTAGGTCAGATGAAATCCATATCTAGTAGATCTTGTTGTTGTACTTTAAGTTCCTTTAATTTTGTTGGGCCATGCGGTACGATGCTTTAGAGATGGGAAAAGTTCCTAGTTAGAGTTCAATTCCCAAGTCTATGGCTCATAAAAGAGGAACTCCTAGTAAATCCTCTAGAAAGACATCTAGAATCGTTTACTATTGGTACCATATCTATCGTCTTTTCTTTTCATTTTACGTCTACTGCACAAGCTAGAGCTCACCCTTCTTATTGTACTAGGCATTTAGCTTTAATCATTGACACTATCTTTGGGGTGACTCCCGTAAAAGTTCCTTTAAACTTAAAGTTGGGTCTGGTTGGTGGCAAAAATACCACTTCCTTCTTGTGGTAATCTACAATGGTATAGTTTTTGGCTAACCAATCCATTCCTAATATGATGTCGAAGTCCGTCACACATACTACTTTCAAAGCTATGCTTATGCTTCGTCCCGCTACTATTTCTTGCCCATCTTTTATCTTATTTTAAGGTCTATTCACACTATTTCCTAATATGGTTCGACCTTGTGATGCCCTCTTTAAGTTTCATAAAGAATTTAAGGAAAGAAATGCTGTGAATGGAGCTGGGGAAGCGAAGAAACAAGCAATGACGAGGTTGGTCACACACATCTTCTTCTTGTCTAGAGGAAGAAGACAATGATGTGGCTGGTTCAAAGACCAAACCATGACCTTCCCTCGATCTTTCTTAATTTGTTCTCATGAAATAGTTTATGGTTCCAAAATCCAGACACAATAAGGAATTTGTGGAAGAAAATTTAAGGTGATTCGAATACGGGAAGCTCGAGAACGGAGATCCCGAACGTCAATGACGAGGTAAGTAGCCATGTTAGACTATTCTTAGAAAATACTTGTAGGAATGGCTTGGATCTCAGTTTAAAACATAAACCAAATATGAAAGAAAAGTACAAAGAATAGAGAGTTAAGGCATTACAACGATCAAATTACTTGGAATGTAAGTAACATTAAAATAACTGAACTTTGCTACCTATGAATTTTTAATACTGAGCATATGATGGTGTGTTAAGATAAAATTTGGAGGTTACTGGATATGGATAAGTAGTTAAACCAAGTAAGGGTGTAAAATGATCATAATGCACCCAAGGTAATCTACCTTTGGTTCATGATCTAGGTAACCTCTAATTGCTATGAAACTTTGTGCTAGACCTTTTATTTTATGCTTTTTTATGATGTTGTTACGTTTGAAAGTCATTGGAATACATTAAGTAGCTAAACTAAGAATTAGGGGTAAAATGACCAAAATGCCTCTAAGACTCCTTATTATATTTTAAGATTTAGACATGCTCCAAATCCCTTGCTACTTCTTACAAGACCTAATCCTAAAAGCATGAAGGTGTGTTCAAAATTTTAAGTTGATTAGAGTAAGTTTGGAAAATACACGAAGGTATGTTCAAAATTTTAAGTTGATTAGAGTAAGTTTGGAACGTAAACCAAGTTAGGATCTAAGAAACACCTAAAAGAAACATCTCAAGACTCGAGACTCTTCTAGAACCCTCAAAAGAACTTATTAAGACTATTACTTGCTAGAATAACTCATGTCTTTTACTATGATGGATTCATAACCTCCAGAATGCAAGATACAATTATTCCTCAAGAATAATAAGAAATACGTAAAAAAAAATGTTTATGATTGTCAACTCAAAGAAAGTGTCACACAAACTCTATAACTACCAAGATAAGGTATCACACTCTCTGCCCTTAAGTTTTTATGATATGAAAGAATGCTAGGTAATACCCTGATCATGTCCAATGTGACACATGACCTCCCACCACGTAATGCTTTCAGAGGCCCAAGTTCTCCTTTTTTAGGTGGGATGCCCTACACAATAATTTTCTTAGCAAGATGTAATGATTGGCCTCATATTTCCCTCACCTAGATGAGATGCCCTGCACCATGTTAGAGGTACCCTATTCACGATTTTTTGGATATCATGTTCATGTTTGCATCGATCACGTGACCTTTTTGGTCTTTCATGGGGAATAATCTAGAGCCATGTTACGGACATGAATATAGTAAATTACCTTCGCCACAAATCAAGAACCTCCTACGATCTCCCACGGTACAACATGTTCATGATTTAGACTACATCACTTGGAACATAACAAGCCTTGGATGTAGGTCTTCAGACTACGGTGCTTGAAACGTAAGAAGCCCTAAGTGTAGGTATTAAGACTTTATGGCTTGAAATGCATGAAGCCTTGGGTATAGGTTGTCGTATTGTATCACAAGACAAGCCGTAGATGCAGGTTCAGCCTATGTCGCTTGGAACATATGAAGCCTTGGGCACAGGTTGTTAGGTTAATGACTAGTACCTTAAATCCTAGGGAGAGTGTCTTAGAGAATGAACCAAGAATGAAACCAGAACCTAGGAAGTACCCAAGAACAAGACAATGATTAAGGACTAGAACATGGATCAAGATCTGAGTTCTAAGAAGAAGAACCTAGATCCTTAATACTATGGTTCTTAGACCAGAATCAAGGTTTCATAATCTAACGACCAAGGTCCTAAACATATATCATGATAAGAATCCACAATTCAAGAATAGAACTAAAGAGCCTAAGTACTTACAACAAGAACCAGAGCAAGAAAAGAAAGAGTGTGGTACCCTATGGACACGATTAAGAGCCTATAAGTAGGATACTTACTGAGTCTTTGTACTCATTCCATGTTTTCTATGTTTTTCAGGTAAACAAGGAGCTGGTCAAGGTCGGGAGTGAAATCTGAAGCAAGTGCCATAGATAAGCTTCACTTGTCATCCGCCACACCTTTTTGTTTTAAATGTTTTGTGTTCGTCCCTTATTTTGTATTTTAACTGTTAAGTTGTATCTTAATAAGTTATGTAAGAACTTTTTATTTTGAAATAATATAAATATGTCGTATAGTATGTTGTAAATTCTGTTTGTTTTATTTTGTGAATATTTTGCTAGTAGTTTTAGAGTCATTGAGTCCCAATCCTTACACACGTGACCACGTGTTTTACTCTAGGCTTAGGTGGAAGGCTCTTGTTGTTTACAGACTTGGGAGCATACGTAACGAAAACCAGTGTCCGATGTTGAGTTGCTACCTCAAAGAACTCTCTAATAGGTGGAGACAACATGGTGATTGGTAAACTACTCATCATCCATGTAAGGTACCTAACGAACTCATCCCACAGGCCACGTAGTCACCTAAGGTTGTGGTGTACATGCTTGCTTCACCGACTGCCTAAAAGACCAATGGCCACCCATAGAATGGATCCATTGTGTAGGGTAATTAAAATAAGATTTCTTCTTGGGGTTATCTCGACACATTCTAGGAAGAACTAAGAGAGGAGTTCTTGTATTAAACTCTCCCAAATGTACACAGTACATCGACCATCTTGAATGTCGATGTACTTGGATCTCCACCAAAACTTTGCATCATCGGCCAGATGAATTCTTGCCAATGTGACCTTCACTTCTTATGCTACAACATTTTTGGCTTCAAAGTACTGTTCGAGGTCAAAGATAAAGTTCTCTAGAAACTTGACATCTCGAATCCCATAAAAAGGCTTGGGTTTCAGAACCTTTATCTAGTTGAATTGGGCTACAATTTAAACTGTGGTTTGATTCTCCAATTCTCTCATGGTGAGGACATGTCTAGCGCTCAAATCAGCCACTTCATCCCTAACCACTCCAAAAGCTACTCTCAAAATTTTAAATATTTTTGAGACAATCTGAATGATCGCTTGTTGAGTATTGTCTAAGTCCTCGATATGTTCTTCTATTCAAGCAACAGAGCCCATCGAGCTATCCCCATGCTTGAGCCACTAGCAGTTGTGGCATTGTCTTTTGGGGCCTTTACCTTAACCATTAATACATGGACATTAGTTTCTCAAGGCGACCTGCCAGCTTGTTGATCCTGTCAGTCTTAGAGAAAATAAAACTCATGCGAGATTTTAAAAGCCCAATTCATCAAGAACTTCACTTAGGTAAAGTAACTAATTTTTTATCTCTACCAATTGATTAGTCTGGGACTTGCCTAGTTCTTTTGCAGCAGACATGTTTGTGTCCTGATTCAAGGAGCCAACTTCGCTTTGATACTACTTATCACAATCGCACTATTGTGGCAGCGGGATAGCGATTATGCGACACTTATTCTAACCCAGTGAACAAGTTATTTGTATGAAAATCATAAGTCATATACAATTCAGACGTTTGATCGATCATTGGCCAGGTTTGGAAGAAAGTGTTTTAGAAATCGTGAGGAAGGAAATGCATTTTTTTT